TAAAAACACAGCTTAATAAATTAATGACAAGGGTTAAATGAAGTTGTTGCCTTAAAAAATTAGCTGCTGGAACTTGATTTACAATAGATCTTCCGCAGTTTTATCTCCAGGATTCTCAGGTCAGTCAATGCATCTGCAGTATGAGGATGAGGAAAGCCTGAGTTGGGAAGTGACAAAAAGGTAGAATAAGGAAAAAGGTAACAACTAGAGAGATAAAGAAAGGGAAAAAAAGTGAAGAGGGAAAGTTAGATCTTAGGAAAGAGAACAGAACAGAATGATTATAGAATAAAATATATTAATAAAATATGTAGCTATACAAACAGGAAAGAAAGTAAAAAGCAGAAAGATGGAAACAGTAAAGATTTTTCCTTTCCTTTACATTTACAAAGCTTAGTTTTCTGATAGAAAGACAGATGGTAAAATACTAAAATACCTTTTAAAAATATTAGAATGCAACAGGTATTCATAGATATATCACCTATACCCATGTGAGTACCTGTTAACTAACTTTGTTAAGAGAGGGGATTTCCCTCATGGTAGGATGTGCAACCACTGATCTAAGTGTTTCATAATGACTTTGCCAGAGAGAACAAAACACACATTCCTTGCAAACCTCTGCCAACCATTCCATGAAACACCCAGGTCAAAAAGAAGGTCTTGCAGCCCTGAAGGTGAGCTCCTCCTGGCTCTGTTGGATGAGACACTCCTTCCCCCCACAACTACCCTGTTTCAACCACAAGCAACCTGCCCTAGAACAACCTGTTGCACTCTCTCTTGTTTGAGCACTCAAATTAACCATTAAATGCGGTCTTAAATAAATATAGATTAATGGAAAAGGCTTCTTTGACAACAGAGTCTTTTGGTCTCTCTCTCTCTCTCTCTGGAGGAGGAACGCTATACAAATAGGTTTACCTCTGAGTATCTGCTACAAAGTGTTTCCCTTCAAATGTCAAACCAAATCCAGTGCTACATTAAATAATTTGGAAGTATGAAGACTTCTCAGAACTGTGTCTTGTGATTAATCTGTGTATCACTGATATATTACCGGTACTGTTCCTCAAGACATCATATTTCATGTATTGCCTATCTGCATCCTCAGGTCTGCAAGAGAGGAAACATACAGCTGACAACTTAACATGCACTTCCTTTACGCCCCATGGCTGCCTAGCTCTGTGGAGCTCCGCTCCTCCCGAGTGCCAGGCTCTCAGGAAACATTTCCCTCAGCCCTAAAGCATGCAAGGGTCCTCCACAGGAATGGGTGGCTGAGCTGAAAGGGGTGAATGCCGTGTTTGCACTGGGGAAACACAGTAAAACACTGACTGTAATAAAGGCCTCAAGCAGAAAGGCTGGTCCTATTTAAATTGGTGTGAAACATAGCAAACTGTCTCCCAAGCTTAAATTGTCAGCAATAGGCACAGAACGTGGCTAAGAAATTATTTTTCTTGAAGAACTTAAAGATTTGTAGTGGGATGCTGTCTTCAAAACATAGTTGTATTATTCTGGAGGTTTTTTTCCAAACATGCAATAGAAGAGTGAATGATAAACATGTTTGTATACTGCTCCTCATTTCCTTTTGGGCCCCCAGTCAGGAAATGTTGAAAATCAGTTTTAGTATTGCTGGAGATTAATGGCTGCTGCTCAGAAATCATACAGAAACGGAATATATTCCTGCCAGGACAAATACATAGACCATTGGACAAAAATCTGTGAACCACAGATAGGACTATATATCATTGTAAAGATCCACTGCCTGTGTTGCTCTGTAATTAATAATATTCACATGTGGGTTTGACTGAAATCACTGTAACAACCAGGCAAATTAATGCCATACCTTCATGGTCTAACTTATTCTAAGGTATTTGAAGTTTTCTTTTCAAATCAGCTTTGCAGCATTTAAAAATTAGATTTTTCTTCCAGGTATAGGCAGAATTCCTTCATGGATTTTTTTGCCCCTATATATTCAATATGGGTTTAAAGACCATGTAATCACTGCTTTTTTATACGAGCAGTTGGATCTCAAAAGAGAAAATACACTCCACTGAGCTGTAAGGCCTTTAAAATCAATCCCTGTCATCAGTTCATTTGTTTCCCACTCCCCTTCAGAGAGGTTGTACTTAAGAGCTCTCTGGCTCCATGTATATTGGGACACATCACTGCAGCTTCTGTATACTTTTTCTCCCCTTTTGTTTTCTTACAAAATAAGGAATAGGCTACAGTGACCTCTGACATTTATGAAAAGCTTTCCTTCTCTATATTCAGTAAATTCACAGGGTCTAGCCAGGGAACCTGAAGACAAGAAGAGTCCAACTTGGTCCTAGAAGCTAAAGCACAGGCAAGCTATCTGAGGTCATTATAATTTAAAAAAATAATAAAGTTAAAAATGATGACATAAAACATCACTGCCAGGGCATGTCCCCGCGGTCTTCTGGCATGTTTGCCTTCAAAATGAAGAGCTGGGGGGTCAAGTCCTAAAGTAAGGACTCAAAATTGATACCAACAGCAATGTGGTATGGATCTGTGTTTGCTTTGTTGTTATGTGATGTGAATAGTGAACCAAGCTCATGATACACATGAGTACATTACCAGTTTACCCTGCTAACCCCATGGTTGTCATGACCAGATTACTTCCCATGGCTGAGCTCACTGTTTGGGGGTTACTGTTTGATGGTACAGGCATAAGATGCCCCCTGCTCATGGCTGCTCAGTAAACAGTCATGGTATTTTATCCCATTTTTTAAGTCAAAAAATAATGGATCTCCCTACAGATACAGCCTGATGGCATTCTCAAACTAAAGTCTTATTCCATATGCCTATATAATGTTTGTTTTGCCAGCGTTGAAATGGCTTCAAAATAAACCCACAGTCTGATTTGTCAGTCTAACAAAACGCTAGCCAGCCACCAGAGATGTCCAAACAGATATGAAAATCAAAAGCCATGAAATGACTCAGTGCCTTGAGTCACTGTGACAGCCAGGAGGTAATACCAGACGATCTACTTTGGCTGGAGTCTTCCTTGGCTCATCTTCGTTTGCAGTGTTAAAACCAGGCTCTCATCTCAAGCCAAAGTGTTGTAGCTTGCCCACTTTAGAAGTGGGCCAACACAGGTACCAGGAAAATAACTAAAATGGGGGGTGAAATTAAATTAAAAACACCTATGGCCACAAGGAGCAGAAGAACAGTCGCATTCTATGGCTACCAATGTGGTTGTTCTCACAATCCTCCTGTCACGTCAGGAAGCTTTAGCAGTGCCTCTCATCTCTGTGGGGTCTGTATGTATGAATATACATAAAAGTATTGTCCAGGACAATGGAAGTATCAACTTGTTGAGGATGTTCAGCCCATATTGCACAGCACAGATTGCAGCTCTCCCTAACATCTACATAGGAATTATGAGAACATGGGCAGTTCTTTGAAGGTTCTGTAGCTACCTCTTGAAGTAAAAGCTTATGGTGAAGAACAGGGGAATTACTCAAATAATAAAGATCACATTTATTGCCACACCGGAAACTTTTTTTAAGCTCCCCTTTCCAGACAAAGGTGACTACAGGGTAAATCTTTCTGAACAACACAAACATGATACATTTCTCTTGAGGTTTGACTCTATTCACCACAGAAGCTACATGCTAGCTCCATCTTTAAAAAAGAAGCGATATACACAAGTTTTTGTACGAAATAAGATGAAGGACTGTTCTGTGATGACAATTTCATTTTTTCCTTTGCAAAATTGCAATTTCAACAGATTTTCTTCCCTTTTTTTTCTTCAATTTTTCATTGTAAAATGACCATTATCTGGTTTTGACAAAATTATTTATTTTGAATGCATCCTTCCTGTAACTTGAAAGTACTTTCTGACAAACTAGAGGTGAAATATGTACAGAAAAAGTGATACCTAATGACATTTAATGAGATGGAATCTGAGAGGTGTGGTAATGGTGCAACTCAGGTGACTCATGTATCAAAGAAATTAACAATACACTTCTTGTAATCAGCTAAGATGGTAACAAGTCCAAAATTAAAGTAAAAATGTTATGAACGAGGGTTTCAGGAGAAAAGTAAGACCTTATATGAAATGCTAAATAATAATGGTTAACTAGAATAAAGAGATTAAGACAAAATGTTTTCACACAGGTTGGGCAGCCTGTCCATAGGATCAGAGAAAAAGATCACTAAAGCACAACCAAAAGAATGTATAGATTTGGTAAGCAGTCCTAGCACAGAAGGCGTAAGTCTCAAAAAGTCAGAAGTCTTCATATGGACTATTTGAAATATCGCGTTTCAGCTCCTTATTTTGAAATTTCCTGAAGGCTGACACTACTGAGAGTTCAATGACTTATTAGCATCAAAGAGAATCTCAAAACTGGACAGACATTTGGGGGACAAGTTGGGCACTGGCTGCCATCAATTCTTCCCACTTACTACTGGGCAGAATTAACATGTAAACCAGGACTACTGAGAAAGCTTTCAAGCAAGCACTACTCCAAGAAATAAACCTAATGGATCTTTGAAAGGCAAAGAATGTGCAGAGCGCTGGACACCAGATGGGACAGGCAGAGGTTTGGCTGAGCCCTCAGCAACATCTGAATATGTAGAAGGTCCAGGGGACATCTCAAGTTCATTTTCAGTATTTCTGACTTGCAGATTGTCTCTTGAATATTTTCATTTATGATGGTAATTACATTCACTATATTTGCTTGTCTTGCCCCTCCCTTTTTTCCCACCCTCTGCAACTGATTCCCCTGTGGTTGTTTTCTGCCTCACCTGCAGAACCCCATTTCCTTGTCAATTCTGACAGGAGTTCATAATTTATTTTGCTTTGGTAGCTGCAGACAGAGATGGTAAATAAAGTAGTACTTAAAACAGTTAAACACCGACCACAGCTCTCTCCTTGTGATCCTTTGCCTTTAATTTGCATGTCCTTGTCTGTTGAGCCCTGTGCTCTTTGGACAACCTAAAAATAAACAGCTACATAGAAAACATAGTTTAAAAGATATTTAATTTACCTGCAATTCTCCTTCCATTATACTAAGTAGTTTTATCAAGTCCTCTTTAGAAAGCTCTATGGACTTCTTGTTCTTTCGTTCAGAAGGTCCGGGTGATTTTGAGTGCCGTTTGACAGTTGCTGAAGCCATGACCTCATCTTCCTTCCGATGAGGTTTATTCTTTTTCTTGGCATCCTCCTGAAGTTTTTCATTCTCTGCATGGCTGATGACAGGCTTGGAACTGGAGAAGTGCCCATTAGATGAGCTTTCTCCACCTTGGTTTCGGGATCTCATCCCTGCCTAGAAAGAAACAAACATAAAGATGCATTTATAAACAAAATTATTTACAAAAAAAGCCACAGTGGAAATACTGCCTTTGGAAAGAACAACAATCTACTATAAACTGAAAATACTGTGATGCTCAAGAGACTGTGGTAGAAAGCTCAACCATTTTAACAAATCTGTGTGTGGTAGAAGCAAAGTCCTAAAGTAAGGGTAACCACCATTTTCAGCAAGCCAAGATGCTAATATGAATTTAAATCTATGGAACTTAAAAGTGATGCAGGAAAATGGTAAATAACATGTTCCAGTGTTTTCTTTCCTTCAGTTGACATTTTGATCATTTACAACTCAACACTGCAAAACAAAGTAGGTTGTTAAGTAGCTCTTATTTTAACATGTGGTTTACTTGAGAAACAGAAATGCAATTAAATTTTAGAAAAGCATATTCCTTGAGTAAAAATTCTCCACAAGAGTGGAATGACAATGCCTGACAAAGGTTACTCTGTAGTTTCTCTAAATGAAGCAATGATTTTATTCCAGGTAACGAAGAAAAATAGGGAATGCAGAGTAAATCAGTTGGCAAATAATGCACAAAATCATTAGTAAGTCCCATAAAGGAAAGTTGAAAAGAAGTTTGAAAAAAGAGCACAGAAAGCATGAAATCACTAAGAGGTAAACGAGCAAGATCAATGCAGTCTTTCCAGAAGATTTCTCTGAAATGTCCTGGTTATGGAATGCTCATATCTGTCCTCTTAAGCACCTACACTGCAGTCTTAGACTATGACAACAAATGTTCCTCAGCTCTATCACTTGACCTACTGTATTGCTAAATTTTTATTTCAATAGATCTAATGAATAATATTCCACTGTTTCCAAGTATTTCCTTTCGCTTAAATTTATCTCTGGATTTAGTCATTAGTCAAACAGAAGCTAGTCAAACTTGTTCATTAGTCAAACAGAAGCTTCTCAACATCAATAACATCTCACACTTTTCTGATAAGGATTTCAGAGCAGCAGGTCACTAGTGATGGGGCAAAACGTAAAATACATTGACTAATCAGCTTGGCTAAATTATAATGGGCCTGCTACGGCTTGCTACTTACTTGACTCAGATCAGTGTTATAAATCTCTTGCTCACATTAGCCTTGTGCTTCTGTAGTTTCACACAGCAGGAAGATTGTCTTTTTATTATCACTTGATACTCATGTTTTCATTAATTCAGTGGAATTTGTCCGGCATAAATGGAGAGAAAATTGGACCCAATGTTTTCAAGCAAGAGAGTTTCACAGAAATTCCTTGCATTGTAGGTCTGCTCCTACCCAAACAATATGTGATACAGGTATACAATGGCCTTTAGCTTCCTGAATGTTTATGCAGTGTGTTTTTCATCAAACAGTTTGGATTAAACACATGAATTACACTTTCTAAAAACAGATCTCCATTATAAGTATGAACAATACCTGAGAACCTCAGGAAATCTTTTAGGTTTTGGGTTTGTAATGGAAAAATAAACACTGTACTATGTTTCCTCTCAGATAGGGCTTCTCAATTTGTTTAACTTTAATGGGTTTTAAACTTTCCAACCATGCTTCCTCTTGGGAGAAAGCACTTGGGATTCAATCTGTCTCTATTTTCTAAGTGTTTCCTTCTGAGTCCCTGTGGATCACAGCCGCCAGCCACTTTCATCTCTAAACCAAACCTATTTTTTATGGCTTACAGTGAATGGTTTCATAGCTCTAGGACATCCTACATGTTTTAAGAATAAATATTTAAAGACTGTCTTGTAGATGTTTTCCAGTGGAAAACAGCTTATTATATTACAGTATTCTGCTTAGTAACATGCCATGTTAGTGATTTCTCTATAGTAAGATGACTCAACTGTTAGACCTGAAGGCACACAATTAATTTTAAATTGAACACATGACTAGTTGAGGCACATCATCCACCTGAAGCACTGCATAATCACACAGATGCAATTAGCTGAATGTTAGACTTCACAAAAAGTGGTGCATCACCCTGTCAAATCATAATTCAAGACAACCATTTTGATCCATCTACCCCTGTGGGAGCTGAAATAACAGTTCGTGAAATGTTGAAATTTAATGTAAATCAATACAGGCCCACAAAGGACAGATGCAAATTTATGGGGTTTTTTCAAAATTCATTAAAACAGCAACAGATCAGCTTAACAAATTGACCTGGTATTTTGTATCATCTGGCTAATTAGAATATGATTGTTGTTAAAGGAGATAAAACTTGGCCTCTTTCGAAATTTCTTTTAAACTTGTAGATTTATTTTGCAGCAAGGCAGTGGCAGTGGCAGACAATCTGTCACTCTTGGGGGAAATGCCCTTAAAAGCCTTTCTTTTTGTAAAAGCCTACCAAAATCAATGTAACACTAATACTTACTCTGTCTTCTCTTATAATGTTGATACTTTTCCAACATGTTATCCAAATGCAAAGGTGTCCTGTGCTGAAGCCAGAGATGTAGGTGACAGAAGCTTAAATAGTGACAGAAAGGGCCAAAGGTTTGATATTTACACAGTAATTTCCAAGGAGATTAAAGGCCAAAATCAACGGCATGATTCAGCTGTTGTGCAGTGCTCTAGGAATACAAAGCAGCTGTAAGGATGACTGAGTTTTAATTAGAGTAGCATGAAGTAGCCAGAACGTACCAGTGATCTTGGCTGAAATACTGTGTGCTGGAACGGAGTGCTTAGTATTGTCATTTTGGACATCCGTCTGTATTTCTGATGGCATCATGATAAAGAAGAAAAGTTTCTGAGTAGTTGCATGACATTATTTTGATATGCAAATATCGAAATCCCAAAACTTTGCTGATCTGTTTTTTCAACCAGGTTCCAAAATTGATTCTGGGGACACAGCCAGTCCAACACTGGTAACAAATGACCTCCTGCTGTCAGCCCTGATCACATCTCTATATCTTACAGCATTCCTGATCTGCTGAAGGGATTGTGTTCCCTGAAGAAATAGCTGGTATGATTTATAATGACTTCAGCATTTAACTCTACTTTTTTTTCCCCCCCAACCCGTATCATATTGCCTATTAAACTGGAAACTGTTTCTAACAGTTTCCAGTCAAACAAGAAGACTTTATATGATCAGTCACTTTGATTTTGACATTTACTGGCTACTCGTTTCAATATGTGCTCACAGTATCGGTACTTGGCATGGGAATTCTTCAGCCCCTCCTCTGTTTCAGTCATTTGTTAAGCTTTAAGCACAAAGGACAAATGCTATGATTATTTATTTGAGTCTGTACTGTTGTTCTGGGCATGGGTCCTTCAGTTTTCACAAGTTAGCAATCCACACAAGATTTTATGAAATAACCTTTATGTTAGTTTTACTGACATCAGGAGGAAATCTGTGAGGAATTTGCTGAGTAGTATGTCAGGAGAGGACAGGCTGCGTGCTGTTCCAGATCCTTCCACCATTGATAGCAATTTGTTCTCCTTATAGCTGTTGAAATGACAGGTTAGATTAGGCTCTGTTACTAGTGCTATTAGAATCAGATAACGTAAAAGGGTTCTTTGAACTTAATATGTAGTCCCTCTTGCTAATTGGACATGCTGATTTTGGCTCCATAATGCTTTCCCTTAAAATAATAATAATAATAATGTTATAATACACACAAAAAAAAGTTGATTTAAAGCCATGATATGGTTGTTGCCATTGGCTATAAATTTGTAGTCTGGAGTTCAGTTGCAGATCTAACTGATTAGTATATCACATGAAAGTGCTGCATTTCTGACAGGTTAACAATGTATTGTATGGTCAGTGCAATTGGGTTATTAGTAAGCCAAAACTGGAATTGTTTGCTGTGGCTCTGGGAACTGTGTCTTTCAGAGGCTATGCTGTGCAGGCTTTTGGAGTGGAGTGAAGTGTTGTGCAGAAGCACCTGGTACACAGGGTTGACTGGGGAGAACTCAGGCACTGCACAAGGCAAATCTCTGCCCAGTGATTACCAATCAATGTGTAGCACCAGGAGTGAAAAATAATTTAAATATACTCGAGATGGAGACCATATCATATAAAACCTCCATCAGATCTGAAACACCCCATAAACAAGGAGGAGAGCGGGGGAAAAAAATTTTAAATAGTATCAGCCTGTATCTGTAAGTAGCAGATACCAAGAAAAAAAACACCAAATAAAAACACACAAAAAAAAGAAGATACTTTCTGAAACGTCAGGAGGAGGGGAAGATAGATCAAATTGACCTTGTTGGTTTAGAAGTCTCAAGCAAGGACCACTCCCAGATGGGAATAGATAGCTTCAGCCCCAGGGGATCTAGATAACCACAACTAAGGTTGCTTGGCCTCAGTGGCGAGCCTTTCACAGGACAAACATGTAGAGATACAACTGTTCACACCACCTCAGAGACTGGCTAAAATTATTAGTTTTCTTATTAATTACTCAAGGTTGTTCTCCTGGACTCTACAGATGTTCATTATTATTGTTTTGTCGGACTAGAAGAAACTAAAAGGAATCAAATTACCAAGAGGTTGTGATAGGACCAGGTAGGAGCTGCTGGCTGCATTGTTGGAGGAACATGCTAAGCAATGCTGCACAGCTAGACTTGAATGCTGCGTGAAGCAAACGTGAGTCAGACCCCAGATTGTGAATGACACCAGGCCAAGGGAATGCAATTGATTCTTGGTTTGCTTTTTCAGATGAGTCCAGTGTTTGTTTCAGTTATGCTGGTCAGAGGAGAGTGATAAACCAGATGACTAATACAATGAAGAATGGAACAAATACCTACCCTTAGCAATTCTGGAGTTTCCTGAATTTCTAAATATTCACGTCTAGAGTACTAATCCATTGTGCTGTCTAATCCTCCCCCAGTCTCTTGTCCCATAAGCATCATGACTTGATTTGAGCAAACAACAAAAGCTCTTTGTTCCTTCTGACAGTATTACATGTTACCAGTGTGCTTTTGTGAGAGCACGTGCTCTCTGCTCACCCTTGTTGGACTATTGGCACAGAGGGATAGATACTT